TATGATAAATGATAAATCAGTATAATTTTACTCATTCCTCTGGTATTAGACATTTAAATGGAAAAGACTAAGTTAGATATAGTCACACATGCCTGTAATCCTAACACTTTAGACACTGAGGCAAGAAAATCTTAAGTTAAAGGCTAGCCTTGGCTACATGATGAGACCTTATCTCAAAAAAAATCTAAAAACTAAAATAAATAAATAAATGTCAAAATTTCTCTAACAGCTGAGTATGTTATAAACCTGTAATTTCAGTATTTGGAAGGCAGAGACAGGAGGATCAGAAGTTCAAGACTGTTCTCAGCTACATAGTGAGTTCAAGGCCAGCCTGAGCTTCATGAGACCCTGCCTCAAAAAATTAACATTTGCCGGGCAGTGGTGGCGCACACCTTTAATCTCAGCACTCGGGAGGCAGAGGCAGGTGGATCTCTGTGAGTTCGAGGCCAGCCTGGGCTACAGAGTGAGTTCCAGGACAAGCTCCAAAGCTACACAGAGAAACCCTGTCTCAAAAAAACAAAAAAGAAAAAGGAAAAAAATTTCTCCAAAAGGTGCTGTTTATTCTTTTGAATTTTTATTTATTTTAAGGATATTTTGTTTTTATTTAGTTGTGTGTGTGCATGTTCCTTGGGGGTGACCAAGGGGTAGGTGCACATTGAGTGCAGTACCCAAAGAGGCCAGAAGAGGGCATCAATACTAAGGAAGTGGAGTCACAGTAGACTGTGAGCCATTTAACATGGGTGCTGTGAACTAAACTTGGGTCCTCTGAGGGAGCAGTATGCACTCTTAACTGCTGAGCCATCTCTCTAGCCTCCTGTAAAATAGTTTAAACACACATTAAAAATAACAAAATAGTTGCTGTGTGCGGTGGAGCACACCTTTAATCCCAGCACTCAGGGAAGCAGAGGCAGGTGGATCTCCGTGAGTTCAAGGGCAACTGGCCTACAGAGTGAATTCCGGGCCAATAAGGGCTATGCATAGGCCCTGTTTCAAAAAAAGAAAAAAGAAAGGAAGGAAGGAAGGGAAAAAGAAATAGTTGTTTTGTTTGTTTGTTTGTTTGTTTGTTTGTTTAAACAAGGTCTCACTAAGCAGTCTTGGCTAGCCTGGAATTCACTATGTAAACCAGGCTCTCCTCAAACTCATAGAGAGCTGCTTGTCTGCCTCCCCAAGGGCTGGGACTCAAGGTGTGTGCCATAAAGGCCATGACCTGAATAGTTTTGTTGTTGTTATTGATTCTTGCACAGTGTTCCATAAACACAGACTGACCCTGAACTTCGGATCCTCCTGTCTCTCCTTTCTGAGTGTGGGATGACATGTGCTTCTTGGGGAGACAGTGAAGACAGGACAGACCCACAGACCCACATGCAGTGAAGGTCCGGGTATCACAACCCTGAACCTCAGTGTAAGGTCTCTCAGCAAGCAGTCTCAGGCTCTGAATATCCCGGACAGGAAGCTACAGTTGGTAGTCTTTGACACACAGATCAGTCATTCGTAAGCACTAGGACTCAGACTCCAAAGAAAAGCTTGGCCCATTTCTGTTGATTCTGGGCCGCGTGTCTCAAGACTTCACTCACTCAGACCTTCCTCCACTCCCCACAGCTCTGCAACTGAATTGTGTTAGCAGTCTGGAACCTCAAGATGTCTTTCTCCACCCTCAGATCTCCCTTGTGAGATCCAAATGGCCAGTCTCCTGGCCACCACCAGTTCACATTTCTGACCCTGGGAGGGCTGAGAAAGGGCCAACAACTCTTGAATTACCTGAGTAAGTGGCACACAGGTGGCATCCTGCCTTACAAAAGCCATTTATGGAGTGTGTATGATTCAGCCCTGAGGGGTGAGCCTGGAAACATTCAGGTTTGGCATTAGACTGACCGGTAATGAGGACTAAATGGGATGCCAAAGCCATACATAAAAAATATGGGTGTTTATAAGCACCAGGGTAGCCTGATCCCTGCTTTCTGGTGTGCCTTGCCCCTGGCATACAGGCTAACAGGAACCTGCACACAGATGCCAGGCAGCTAAGCAAGGGCTTCAGGAGTTACCGGGCAGGAAAAACCCTTGTACTGTGGAGACATTCAATAAGGAGTCAGACCAGGGCTCTACTTAAACCTAAAAGCTCAAAAGGATCCAGGGCCCTGTCTTTCCCTATCACCCCTTAGACAGACACCCTGTCCTTATGGTGTGGCCAGTCGTGGCCTCCCTAAGGTGCCCAAGGACTCTGCAGCCAGTGGAGCAGCTAGTTGAGGTTTCATTAGTATGCAATTGCAACATGATTAATATACATACAATGGTATGAACACCTCTGCATCCCACAATCCAGTGAGGCACCCGATATGGACAGATGCAAAGATGCTTCTTCTAAACACTAACAATACTCAGAAATATCTTCTTGGAAACTATTGCATGTCCTCACACTCGTAAGAAATACATATGATTTTAGGGCCCATTCAAGTAAACTGGAGGGGACATGGAGACATCAATGTTGAGCTTGATGGAAAAAGTTACTATGCTTTCTTTCTATTAAAGAATTATAAAAATGAGCATTGAGAACACATTAAATACCAAAGCTGTGTGAAATTTTCCAAATAAAACATTTTCAAAATTTTAATGAGAAACATGAGCTTGCTTCTACGAGCATAACTTTTAAAAATTTTATAATGTATTTTATTTAACCCAATATATCGCCACTATTATGATTTCAACATGTCATCTGTATAAAAGTCATTCATGGGATAGTTTACATTCTTGTTTTCTAACTGTTTTAGTCAGGGGTTATCTAGAGGAACAGAAGCAAGGAAATGTGTGTGTGTGTGTGTGTGTGTGTGTGTGTGTGTGTGTGTGTGTGTACGTGTATAGACACACATATAAATATGATATGTCTATTCTGATATATGTATGTTCTGATATATATGTATGTATATACATATACGTATATGTATATATGTGTATATATCTATACACATATATATGTCAGAATTTAATAAGTTAGCTTAAAACCGTAGCAACAGTAAGCTCCAACCTCAGAGCTGAGAACTGGGTACTCGGTGCTGGAAGCCGAATGTCTCAACCGTAGGGGGCGACAACCTGCAGTTACAAGGCGGAGTGCCGCCGCCGTGGTCCCAAGCGGGCACCGGAAACGCAGAAGGTTGCTGGAGGGCCACTGGACTCCAGAGTCCAGAATCTGGCGGCGGCAGGGCAAGAGAGAAGGGCAAGTAAGCAGGGCTAGGACCCGAGCTTTTCATCGCATCTGCTGCCGGAAGGAGACCCCCCAATGTGGGCTGCAGCTCCCCACACCAATCAAGGCAGTCAGGACAGCGCTTCGGGTGAGGCTCCCCACACACGTGCTTCTAATCTGTGGCAAATTGACACGAAAGGCAACAATTGTAGATATTAAGTCGGACATCCAGTGTGTGTTTTCTAGACAGCACATCAGTGTGGACCAGCCACAGCTCAAGCGCTCGGCTGCCACATGTGGCCAGTAGCCGCCTGATCAGCAAGCACCGCTGTACAGCCAAGGTGGTAAACAGAGCAGGAACAAAACTTTTTAAATCTTTTTTTTCCAATTATGTGTGTGTGAATGTCAGTTTATGCACTTGTGTGTGGTGGCTGCAGAGGGATCCCGGGAGCTGGAGTGAGAGTCCCTTGGGAGCCACCCCTGATGTGTGTGTGTGTGTGTGTGTGTGTGTGTGTGTGTGTGTGTGTGCAGTAGGAATCAAACTTGTGCTTAATTGCTGAGCCTTCTCTCCAACCCTAAACATTTTTTAAAGTGTTCCTTTTATATGTTTGAAATGGATATTACCAGTGAAGATTTTTGACCAATCATCTGTTCAAGTCCGTGGTTGTTGCTCATCAATGTGAAATATTGGCCTAGTAGATTTTTTTAAATATTAAAAACAAAAGTTACACCTGTGAAGTCTCGCCAACATGGCTGCCTAAACAAGACCCGATCAAGGACACCACCAACAGATATGGTAACATGGACGAGGGAAAGTTCATGAGGTCTCAACTCTAGACAAAGAGGCAGCTGAGGAATGCGGAGGGTGGGGGACATAGTCTCTCCTGGGGAAGAGCGCACCCACTGGGTATCCAATACCAAAAGGTCAGCCCTGAAAACATGCGTACAATAACATTATACAGACTGAGCAGGCTGTATTTATGTATTAGGAACACACACACACACACACACACACACACACACACACACACACACACGCTCCTGTAATTCAAGAGGCCATGAATTTTAAAGAGATCAAGGGTGCCTACATCCGATTGTGGGAGGGTTTAGAGGGAGGAAAGGGGAGAGGGGAACAATGTGATTATAATCTCAAAAATGTTTAAAAACTTATTTAAAAGAAAAACTGTCCAAAATGGAATAAAGATGAAAATCTTTTAAAACCTGTATGTACCAAAAGTGTTAAAGTATGTGCCGGGTGGTGGCGGCGCACGCCTTTAATCCCGAAGCTCACAGGAGGCAGAGGCAGGAGGATCTCTGTGAGTTTGAAACCAGCCTGGTCTACAGAGTAAGATCCAGGACAGGCACCAAAACTACACAGAGAAATCCCGTCTCGAAAAAACAAAAACAAACAAACAAAAAACCCCAAAAGGTTAAAGTATGCTTGGCTAGTCCCGATCTAAACAGATTGCTGTAAATTCAGAAACTAAAATAGTAAAGACTAGGTGAAGAGCATGGATTTTAAATACAAAAAAAAACTGAAGCACTTTTGCCACCTTCTAAAATTATACCGCCCTTGAAGCCAGGCATGGGAGCACGCGCATTTAATCCCAGCGCTGGGGAGGCAGAGGCAGATGGATCTCTGTAAGTTCAAGGCCAGCCTGGTTGGTCTACATAGTGAGACTTTGTCTCAGGGAAAAAAAAAAAAAAAAAAAAAAAAAAAAGATTTCTTGTGAGGTAAAGCATTTTAAACTCATCCCTACTCCTTGGGGATAACTGAGGCACAGTTGCCTGGTGGGAACAATCACCAGGCAACTGGCCTGGGTACCCTGCAAAGGGCAGGAGGTGAGTCAGCAGGATTCCGCAGGGCCAGAGGCAGCACCAGGGGAGTGTATACCGATGCTGCAGCCGGCCCTCTCCACTGCCTGGGCGCAGGGCCCCCCACCGATGCTGCAGCCAGCCCTCTCCACTGCCTGGCCTGGGCGCAGGGCCCCCCACCGATGCCGCAGCCGGGCCTCTCCACTGCCTGGCTTGGGCGCAGGGCTCCCCACCGATGCTGCTGGCCCCCTCCACTGCCTGGGCACAGGGCTCCCCACCGATGCTGCAGCTGGCCCTCTCCACTGCCTGGCCTGGGCGCAGGGCTCCCCGGGCACTTGCACATGCGCCCCAGCAGCTCTCTTGAGCTCCTTCATCTCTGCAGCACACACAGCTAGTTTAATTTGCAGCAGCTTCTGGGGCGGACAGGCTGCTGTGGAATGTTTTATGGCAGGTGCTTCCCAGGACAGGATGCCCATTTCTGTCCTCCTCACTCCAACCCTTCTCTATCCCCAGGCTGATGGGGTCGCTCTCTGAGGAGCCCAAAGGCTGGTGACAGTGCTTGAAGTGACAGCTTGCCCACCTCAGAGGCTACCAGGGCTGCCAGGTGACTGAGCCCTGCTGCGGATGTGACAGTGGACCACACAGCACCCATTCCCCACTTCATTCCCCCTGGGCAAACATGCCACCACTGAGTTACATCCGCAGTCCTTGTTTTTGAGATAGGGTCTCACTATGTAGCCCTGGCTGACCTGGACCTCACTATGTAGATTAGGCTGGCCTTGAACTCACATAGATCTGCTTGCTTTTACCTCCAAGTACACACACACACACACACACACACACACACACACACACACACACACACACACACATTGTACCACATAAAGCTTTATTGAGATAACATCCACATACCATGCAAATCACCAATGTAAGGCATATAGTTGTGGTTTCGAGTATATTCACCACGTTGTCCAGAGGCTGAAGTTTCTTGTTTGTCACGTGGAGATAATGGCATATAACCTCATGGAATTGTCGTAAGAGAGACATGAGATAATAAATGTAACGTGTTTGGCACACTTCCCAGTGCATGGCAAACTCTCAGTTAATTACCACCATTATTCCGTCGATGAGGGTGACAAGGACCGCAGAAGAGAAACAGATATTCTTGCTTTGAGGGACACTGAGCAGGGCACCCGCCCGGGACTCTGCTGCATGTTTTATGGACCTGAGGTGGCATAGCTCGGTGCCTCGCATACCACAGGGCAAGCTCAGGGTGCCCATCATGTATCACAGGCACCTCTGTGTCACACAGGAACTTGACAGCTGTCAGCAGCCACACAGGCTGCCACACAGTTTGAAATCAGGAAGTGCAGAGACATGCAATTTCTTACTGAAAATTAGTGGGAAGAGAAATTCAAGTCAGCAGCAAGAGACGCCATTTCCCTCGCTTCAGTTTGGTCTGGCCTCAAAAGATTTACTCTCAAGATTTTTAAAACAAAAATAATATTTGTTGTTTCTGATTCAGTATAACCCTATCCCAGAAGTAGTGAGTATTAAAACTTTATATAGAAGGAAAAATTCTTTTGTTTTTGCCTTTTTTTTGGGGGGGGGGATTCGAGACAGGGTTTCTCTGTAGCTTTGGAGCCTGTCCTGTACTCGCTCTGTAGACCAGGCTAACCTCGAACTCACAGAGATCCACCTGCCTCTGCCTCCCGAGTGCTGAGATTAAAGGCGTGCGCCACCACCACCCAGCTTGCTTTTGCCTTTTCAAGACAGGGTTTTTCCGTGTGACCCTGGCTGTCCTGGAACTCACTATGTAGACCAGGCTGGCCTCGAACTCAGAGATCCGAGATCCACCTGCCTCTGCCTCAGTTCCTGAGTGCTGGGATTAAAGGTGTGCATCACCACACCTGGTTTAGAAAGAAGAAAATCTGAACTTTTTTTTTTTGAGACAAGGTCTCACTAGGTGGCCCTGGCTGGTCTAGAACTCATTTTGACTGCCATCAAACTCACAGAGAGCTACAAGTTGCCGCTTCCGCCTCCTGAGTGCTGGGCTTAAAGGCACGTGCCACTGTGATGGCTAAGAATTTGAATGTTCTCACCACCGATATCCTAACTGTCTGAGGTGATGAGGATGGTCATTGTCCTGAGTTGATCATTTCACAGTGTATATGTCCATTGGATTAAGATCACAAAGGCGTGCCAGGCGGTGGTGGCGCACGCCTTTAATCCCAGCACTCGGGAGGCAGAGGCAGGAGGATCTCTGTGAGTTCGAGGCCAGCCTGGGCTACCAAGTGAGTCCCAGGAAAGGCGCAAAGCTACACAGAGAGACCCTGTCTCGAAAAACCAAAAAAATAAATAAATAAATAAATAATAAGATCATAAAGGCTGGCCCAGCAAGATGGCTCAGCGAGTGAAAGCATTTGCTGTGATAGTTTGACAACCCAAGTTCAATCCCCAGGACCCACGATGGAAGGAGAGAACCAACTCCCAGAAGTTGTCCCCTCCGACAGTCACACATGCACAGAGTTGAGAGCAAGGACAAGAGCATGCATGCCTGTGCGCGAGTGCGCGTGCACGCACACATACACACGCACACATACAATAAGTAAAAACTTTAAAATAGGGGCTGGAGAGATGGCTCAGCAGTTAAGTACATGTACTGCTCTCACAAGAGACTCAAGTTCAGTCCCCAGCACTCACACTGGGCAGCTTACCATCTCCTGTAACTCCAGCTTCAGGAGATCCAGTGCCCTCTTCTGGCCCCCACAGGCACCTGCACTCATGTGCACAAACCCACACACATACACATAATTTAAAATAAACACAACAGTAAAGAGAAAAACAAGTTTCGTGGCCCACACCTGTAGTTCCAGCACTTGGGAGGCTGAGGCGGGAAGACGCTCAGAGACTGAAGTCAGTTTGGTCTGCCTACTAAGTTCCAGGCCAGTCTGGTAAGACCCTGTCTCAAAAAATGAAACCAAAGCCAAATAAGCCGATAAATATTGCCAAGTGTGATGTGCATTCCTGTCACTGAGTGTGATGTGTCCTGTGGTCCTGTCACTCTAGTGTGATGGGTCCTGTCACTCTAGTGTGATGGGTCCTGTCACTGAGTGTGATGGGTCCTGTCACTCTAGTGTGATGGGTCCTGTCACTGAGTGTGATGTGTCCTGTGGTCCTGTCACTCTAGTGTGATGGGTCCTGTCACTCTAGTGTGATGGGTCCTGTCACTCTAGTGTGATGGGTCCTGTGGTCCTGTCACTGAGTGTGATGTGTCCTGTGGTCCTGTCACTCTAGTGTGATGGGTCCTGTCACTCTAGTGTGATGGGTCCTGTCACTGAGTGTGATGGGTCCTGTGGTCCTGTCACTCTAGTGGCTGAGGTAGTTCAAATTTTGGGTTTTCTCTTGTGTTTTATCAGTTGCTGTTTGTTTTGGGACAGTGTTTCAGGTAGGCCCCCAAATCGCTGTATAACCAAAGACGACTTGATCCTCCTGCTTCTACTTCAAAAGTGACGCAGCTGGACTGTGTCACTGCGCCCATCAGTTAGTGTGACACTGGGGATCTAGGTGAGCACTCTATCAACTGAGCTACATCCCTAGTCCTCTGTTTTGTGTTGCAAGATAGAGTCTCACTATCTCGTCCAAGCTGACCTCGAACTCATGGGCTCAGTCTTCCTGCCTCAGCTTCCCAAGTAGCTGCCTCAAACTGTCTTCCTGCCGTCACCTCCTTGAGTGCTGGGATTACAGGCCTGTACTACCATGTGTGGCTACACACATACACACACACACACACACACACACACACACACACACATGCACGCACGCACGCACGCACACATTGAAACAGGTCTCACTGTGTCACCTGACTGTCTGTAATTCACAGAGATCCACCTACCTGTCTCTGCTCTACCACTCTAGGCAAAATCTTTTCTTGTAAGCTGGGTAGTGGTGATGGCACACGCCTTTAATCCCAGCACTCGGGAGGCAGAGCCAGGCGGATCTCTGTGAGTTCAAGGCTAGCCTGGGCTACAGAGTGAGTTCTAGGACAGCCAGGGCTACACAGAGAAACCCTGTCTTGAAAAAAAAAAAAGATATCTTTTCTTGTTAGCACCCCAGGTCATCACCCCAGGTCTCTTGGGAATAGGGAAGCAAAGTGAGAAGTGACTTATTTTTCCTGTTCAAGGTGGAGACCAGTGAACAAGAAAGAGAAGGATTCTGGGGTTGGTGCTTAGCAGTGGAGCAGCTACATGGGGGGCGGGGAGTGTGGAAGAGAGGGAGGACTCCAGAGGAGGAGCTGGGCTGGAAGGGCAGAGAGCCTTTCCCCACCATGATTCCTAACACATTGACGCAGCTAGTAGGACTCACCTGTGCTGTGACGGCACCTGCGTGTGCTGTGGGTTGACCCTCCTCCACTCCTCGTCTTCCATCTCCCTCCTCTTTCCCTGTATCAGGGACTTTTGGTCACTAAGACAGAATATCTAACATAAAAAACCAGGAGAAGTTTGTTTCGGCTCACAGTCTCAGAGGGCTCAGTCCTTCAGGGCGGGGGTGTGTAGCAGAGGAGAGCCACTCACGGAGGGCCTAGAGACAACAGAAAGGGAAGGCTGGCTTCCTCCAGCTTTCTCCTTTTCCTCCTTCTATCCTACCCAAGCACCCACTCCATGGGGTGATACCTAACCCACGTCTGGGGTGGGGTCACCGTCTGTGGTGGCTTGAATGAAAATGATCCGAACAGGCTCATAGGGAGTAGCACTATTGGGAAGTGTGGCCTTGTTGGAGGAAGTGTGTCACTGGGGGTGGACTTTAAGATTTCAGAAGCCCAAGCCAGGCCCAGTGGCTCTCTGTCTTCCTTCCATTGTCCTTATATAGGCTTCCAGCAGAAGGTGTGGCCCAGATTAAAGATGTGTCTTCCAGCCGCAAGATCCAGATCACAGGTGTGCCCTCCATTTCTGGATGGTAGTTCATTCCATATGTAGTCAAACTGACAACCAAGAACAGCCATCACAGGGTGTAAGTCAAACTCCTCCTCAGTTCTCACCATAGCTCCAGCCCGCCCCATCCACGGCTGCTGCATATCACTGAACTGGTCCTGTGTAGAAACCTTGTCTTAAGAGGCGGAGCCAGCTGCAGGCTTAGGAGACCTGATTCCTCAGAGATCTGCCTTCAGATGCCCAGGGTCCTCATCGGGAGGAGGGATCTGCCATACCCACGCTTTCTAGCCAGCCAGCTCAGCCAGGAGGTAAAAGCTGCACAAGTTCAGGGTTCAGATTATCTGAAGGAGGCCATTTCTGCCATTGCCCGTGAGCCAGAATGTTCAAGGTCACAGGCTGTTTTGTTTTGTTTCCTGTTCGAGTTTTGTTTTAATCAAAGCTGTATGATGTACGAAATGAACACTAAATTATACTAAAAAGCTTGTGGCCAGGTGCTTTCTTCACTCTTGCCCTGACCAATCAGGTTCCTCTGTGAAGGCACACAGAGGCTGTGATAATTGGTGAGTGCGTGTTAGATCTACAGATTTATTATGTTTTAGCATTTATTTCTTTGTTTGTTGCTATAGACTCAAACCCAGGTCCTCACCTAACCCAGGCATATCTTTCACTGAGATAACCTCTCTCCTGGATACTTTTCTGTTGCTGTGAAGAGACACCGTGACCAAGGGAACTAATAGCAGAAAGTGTTTATTGGGGCTTACTGTTTCAGAGGGTGAGTCCTTGACCATCATGTGGGGAGCATGGCAGCAGGCAGGCAGGCAGAGCACTGGAGCAGTAGCTGAGAGCTTACATCTGACCTACAAGCAGGAGGGAGAGACAGAGACAGACAGAGAGAGAGAGAGAGAGAGAGAGAGAGAGAGAGAGAGAGAGAGAGAGCGAGCTCACTGGAAATGGTGTGGGCTTTTGAAACCTCAAAGCTCACCCCCAGTGACACACCTCTTCCAACAAAACCACACCCACTAATCCTTCCCAAACAGTTCCACCAATGGTGGTGCAGGGGGGAAGGGCAAGCATTCAAATATATGAGCCTATGGGTCATTCCCATTCAAACCACCACACCCCCCAGCACTCATACTTTAGTTTTATTGTTTACACAATTCTCTGCCTGCCCAAGTTAATATTTATTTACGTTTTTCATTTACTTCCATGTGCTTCTGTGTAGCACATCCAACAGTATTGCAATCTAATATTCTCACACAAGGGAATCAGAAAATCTGCAATGTTTAGGGTTCCCCTCTGAGTGCAAAAGCAATAATGTCGAAGAATAAACTGACTTTCATATCAGTTATGAAAGACAGGATCCCTACAGATACAACAAACATTGAAAATATCATGAACCATTTTGTATTTACTTGTCTCAAAATATATGTATTTAAGGACAGTTCCTTAAAACATATGAATGTTAAGACTGAAAAGATGCATAAATGGAAAGTCCATATTATCTATTAAAGAAATTGAAATCTTAGTTACAGTTCTCTCTTTAAAGAAAATTCCTAGTCAGATGACTTTATTGCCGGATTCTATCAAAAATTTAAGAAATAAATACTAGGGGGCTGGAGAGATGTGCAGGCATGGAAAACAGAACCGATCGCAAAACCCACACTGCACACACTTGTAATCCCAGCACGCCTGTGGCAAGACAGAAGGAGACAGGAGAGTCCCCTGAGAGTTTGTGGGGCAACTAGCCTGGTATGCAACTAAACAACAAAGTGGAAGAGAAGGATTGACACCCAAGGCTGTCTCTAGCTCCACACATGCACTGGAGCACACATATGCACTCATGTGTGGACATACCCACCCCACCCACACACACACACATATACACACACAGAACACCAAGTGTAAACAAACTCTTCAAAAAATAGATGAGAACACTTCATGACTCATTTTATGAGGCCAGTATTACCCTGAGACCAAAGCCAAAGAACTTAGAAAAACAAACAAAACAAACCTGAAATATCAAGATTCTCAGGGCTGAAGAGATGTCTCTGCAGTTAAAAGCGCTACTGCTCTCCTGGAAGACCTGAGTTTGGTTCCTAGCACTTAAATCAGGTGCTTCACAACCACCTTTAACCCCAGTTCCAGGAGATCTGACGACTTCTCTGACCTCTGAGGGTATCTGCACACACACACACACATACACACACACACACACACACACACTTAAAAATAAAATCTTTCTTAGAATTAATGATAAATATTCCTAATGTTCATAGACACAAAAATCCTTAAGTAATATGTTGACAAGAATATGCCAGTATCTAATGAACTTTTCCCCAAGAATGTAAGGTCAGTTTAACACGCAAAAACTATTCTGAGCCGGGCGGTGGTGGCGCACACCTTTAATCCCAGCACTCGGGAGGCAGAGGCAGGTGGATCTCTATGAGTTCGAGGCCAGCCTGGGCTACAAAGAGAGTTCCAGGAAAGGCGCAAAGCTACACAGAGAAACCCTGTCTCGAAAAACCAAAAAAAAAAAAAAAAAAAAAAAACAACTATTCTGGTATGACAGAAGACCATGGCTTCAAGGACAGCCTGGCTTGTCTAGTGAGTCTCATGTCAGAATGGGTTATATGTCTTGTCTTAAACAAACAAACAAACAAAAACTACCAAAACATTCATTGGTGGGATGGCTTAGTGGATAAAACTCCTGCTGTCAAACCTGAGTCACGGTGGAAGGAGAGAACCAATTCCTGCAAGTTGTCCTCTGACCTCCACACATAGGGTGGCATGCATGCCCAGCCCCACCCAAGCCCAAACAAAACAAAGCAAAACTCAAACTAAAAAAATTTCAAAACTAATGTGTAGCATACTAACAGAATAAAGAAGACAGGTAATGAGAATCGTATCACATATATCACCTGTGGAAAGAATACTGCTGAAATTAACCCCTCAGTCATGACCAAACGCTTCACCACACTGGTGAGGAAGGACATCTCCCAGCGTGGCTACAGCAAACTGCAGTTTCTTCAACAGCTTCAGGGGGGCCTTCTGCCCTCTGTGTCTCCCTGAGCTTGTCACTTACCTGTAAAACTTGGTGGGATTTGAGGAATAGAAACAAGCGTGGCTTTTAGGCATACCACCCCGAACACGTCCGTCTCAGAAGTAAGCTTTAATCTGCCATGCTTCATCTGAACAGTAAAGGTGTGCCCTCGTAAATCTTGTCATTTCTAATTCCACTGCCGCCCCCTTGACTTGAGCTGCCACCCCTCTCTCTTGAATGATTCTGAGAATTCCCCTTTGTCTGACAACACTGTTCTCCCGAATCTGCCGCGGTTGCCAGGGAACTGGTGTCCAAGTGCGAAGCTCTGGTCCTGTTGTTTCTCTCTTAAACCTATCAAGACTTTTCTACATTGCTTTCAGAATAAATTCCAAAAGGTTGAGTGGGTGGGGGAAGGGAGGGAAGAGTTCATTTTGGGAGATTTTAGAACAGAGATGATATCCAAGCTGTGATGCTCACTCACACCTTAGCCGAGGATGGCGCCTTGCACCTGCAGTCCCAGCCCTCAGAGGCTGAGTCAGGAGAACTGCTCGGGGGTTCAAAGCCAGCTTGGGCTGCATAGTGAATACTAGACTGGTCGGGGCTATATTTAAAGAACAACAACAAGAATAACAACAACAACAACAACAAAAATTTAGAAGAAATGCTGGGTATAGTGGTGTGCACCTCCCAGCATGTGGGAGGTGGAAGTAGGGAGGTCAGGAGTTCAAGGTCATGCTCAGCCATAATAATTTGAGGCCATCCTTTGAGACATGTGACCTGTCTCCTGTCTCAAGAAAATCAGTGGGGGCGGGGCGGACAGAGAGAGAGACAGAGAGACAGAGGGACAAAGAGAAATCTCAGTGGTATATAAACATAACCCCAGCATTTGAAGGCTGAGGCAGGAGGATTACTTACAAGTTCCAGGGCAGCCATGACAACAGAATGAGACCCTGTCTCAAAAATCAAAACAAAGAAGAGAGAGAATGAAAGGAAGGAGGAAGAAGAGAAGCCGGAGGAAGAAGAGGAGAAGGAGGAGGAAGAGGAGGGAGAGGAAGAAAAGAGTCCTAGACAGTGGAGAGTACTTACTTGGCTAGCATGCGAATGTCCTGATTCCGACACCTATCATGAGAGAAAAAGAAGGGAGGGAGGGAGGGAGGGAAGAAAATAACCTGACCTTGCCTCTCATTTATTTTTTTTTATTTTTTTGTTTCTTGAGACAGGGTTTCTCTGTGTAGCCCTAGCTGTCCTGGAATGCACTCTGCTGACCAGGCTGGCCTCAAACTGCCGGCTTCTGCCTCTCAAGTGCCGGGATCAAAGGCATGCGCCACCACCTGATGACCTTGCCTCTCTTCAGCTGCCCACTGATACTTCTTCATTGCTTCACGTTGCAGCCACACTTCTGAGGACAAGGGTCTCCTCCGTTATTTCAGCTCCGGTTCGTTTCTCACCTTGTCATCAGCTGGCTTCTGGTCTCACTATACTATCAAGGTATCCATGGATATCCAAGGTTAGCTTTCCAAAATTTCCTGTCTTCAACTTCTAATTTGAAATTATTTCAAGTTTGCAAGCAGTCGTGAAGCAGGTGAATATCCATGAGTTTGAGGCCAGGCTAGTCTACATAGTGAGCTCCAGGACAGCCCTGAGTTTGATCCCTGGAATCCTTATGGTCAAAAGGAGAGAACTAACTCCTGCAAATTAGTTCTGACCTCCACAACTGCACTATGGTATATGTGTACACGCACACAAGTACACACACACACAATTTATAAATCATATTAAAATATTACATTTTTTACAAGCCAGTGAGTTTAATCAGTGTTCCATGTGGCAGTGTGGATGAAGATTTATAGGAGTGTAGGTAACTTAGTGGTGATTATACCACTGAGAAAACCATCTCTCCCTTCCCCGAGCAGCCATTAACCACCTGTAAATCCTCATGAGGGGGGAGCATGGTGGTTTGAAAGAGAATGGTCTCATACATTTGAATGATTGTATGCTTGGTCCCCAGTTGGTGGAACTGTTTGGGAAGGATTAGGAGGTGTGACCTTGTTGGAAGAGGTGTATCGTTGAGGGTGGCTTTGAGGTTTCAAAAGACTCCCACCATTTCCAATCTCTCTCCCTGGCACCAACTTTTGGGTCAAGATGTAAGCTCTCAGCTGTGTCTGTCGACATCCCTGCCTGCTGCCATGCTCTCTGCCATGGTGGCCGTGGACTCTAACGCTCTGAGGCCGTAAGCCCTGAATTAAATGCTTTCTTTTATAAGTTGCCTTGGTCCTGGTGCTCTATCATAGCAATAGAAAAGGAACTAAGACAGGCAGGGACTCCAAGGCCCCTCCCTGCTGAATGAGCAAATGCCAACAGGGCTAGTCTTGGGTCGGTCTTGTACAAATTCACAATGATTTTGATACCTGCTGTGGAAGATGCCCCAAAATGTGGACTTGGTCAATGAAAGGAATCCAGATTCCCTTGAACAGAGTATTAGGAGAAAGACAGATGTTAATGAGCCAGCCAGTAAGGACCCAGAGGAAATGAGGAATGTTGTAGAGAAAGGCTGTACCCCTTCAGAGAACACATACTCGTCATGACAGTTGTGGGCGGGAGTATGGACCCAGAAGCCACTACTGATGAGGACTCGGAGGGAAAGGGCATTTGCTGGAAACTGGAGTGGAGGCATACAGGAGCTGAGGAGAATCACGTTCTGTGTCGTACAGGAACCTCATTTATGAAGACCGGATATTCAGCTGAGGAGATTCCCAATCAAGCTCGGACAGCACAGCACAGGCTTTTTGCTGTTTATAGCTAAATGCAGGTGTGAGAAAAGCAGCATTGGGAAGAACTGAGGACCTGGGTCATTTGGGAAGTTCTTGGCCTATCTAGATGCCAAAAGATGCTACGATTTAGAGACCCCGGGGCTGGAAAGATTGCTCAGCAGTTAAAGGCACTGACTGCTCTCCTAAAGGACTCGGATTCAAATCCCAGCACCTATATGGCAGCTACCAACTGTCTGTAACTCCAAGATCTGACACCCTCACACAGACGTACGTGCAGGCAAAACACCAATGCAAATAAACTACAAGTAAATTTAAAAAAAAAAAAGATTTAGAGACCCCCCTGAGGAGCTAGAGAGTTGGCCCAGCAGTTAAGGACACATTCTTGCAGAGGACCTGTGTTCAGTTCCCAGCACCCATGGGGCGGCTTACAACCATCATTAACTCCACTTCCAGGGAATCCAGCATGTTCTTCTGGCCTCCATGGGCACCAGGCACGCACTGCGTGTACAGACAAAAATGCAGGCAAAACACTCATACACATGAAATAATAATTTTTTTAAAGAGAAAGAGATAACCCTGTCAGAGAAGTTTATTCTAGAGAAAAACACAAAAGGAGTGTTTGGCCTACCTCAGAAAGATCAAAAGTCCTGAATACATCATCATAGAGAAGACATTTTGAAGGGAGTGTAATTCATAAATCCCTTTAGACATCCTGGCAAATACTGAATATAAAGGAAAGCAGGTCTGGAAGAACCCGTGAACAGATAGCGTGAACTCTCATGCACAGGAGATCCACTAGGTTGTCGAGAATTTTATTCATTTATTTATGCCTGTTTCCTGTGTCTGTGTGTGCATGCCATTGTGGTTGATATACTGTGCACCCCAATAAACTTATCTGGGGGTCAGAGAACAGAACAGCCACTATATTAAACATAGAGGCTAGGCAGTGGTAGCACACACCTTTAATCTTAGCATTCCAGAGGCAGAAATCTGTCCAGATCTCTGTGAGTTCAAGCCACACTGGGAACAGAGTCAGGCATGGTGGCACACACCTTTAATCCCAGCACTTGAGATCTCACGTCTTGCTTGGGAAAGACCTTTAATCACAGGAAGTGATAGCAGGAAGTAGAAAAGTATATAAGGCATGAGGACCAGGAACTAGGGGCTTTTAAACTTTTAGGCTTTTTAAGCTTTTAGGCTTTTAGCTTTTAAGGTTTTAGGCTTTTAGCGGCAGTTCAGCTGAGATCCACTCAGATGAGGACACTGAGGCTTCCAGTTTGAGGAAACGAGTGAGTGTTCTGCTTCTCTGATCTTTCAGAATTCACCCCAATACCTGGCTCCCGTATTTTTTTTTTATTAATAAGACCATTTAAGATTCATGTTGCATGCCATGGATGTGCTGGTACCCTCAGAGACTAGATGAGGGTGCTGGAACTCCTTGGAGCTGGAGTTACAGGCAGTTTTTTTGGGGTTGTTTTTTTTTTTTCTTTTTTGGTTTTTCGAGACAGGGTTTCTCTGTGTAGCTTTGCGCCTTTCCTGGAACTCGCTTTGGAGACCAGGCTGGCCTCGAACTCACAGAGATCCGCCTGGCTCTGCCTCCCGAGTGCTGGGCAGGCTGTTTTAAGCAACAAATGCGGGTGCTAGGAACTGTAATCTGTTCTTCTGTGAGTAGCAAGTGCTCTGAACTGCTGATCCATGCCTCTAGACCCTTTTATTTCTTATGTATGTGTCTGTCTATCCATACATACCCTATAAAAACCCTCCACTCCAGCCCGTCGGCGCGCCAGTCTCTTCAGCCTCTGGAGGGACTGTGTCGCCCCGGGTACCCGTGTTCCTGAATAAAGCCTCTTGCTGTTTGCATCTGACTTGTGGTTTCGGTGTGATCTCTGGGCGAGGGTCTCTCCAGAGGGAAGACTCTCTTCGGGGGTCTTTCATTTGGGGGCTCGTCCGGGATCGGAGACCCCCGCCTCGGGACCACCGACCCACTGTCAGGAGGTAAGTTGGCCGGCCACTGTCTGTCTGTATTGTCTCAGTCTGTTTACTTGTCTTTCGTTTTCGTCGGGCGTCCTAAGTCAGGTCTGAGTCGGTGGGGGCTGAAGGAGCTGACGAGCTCGGACTTCGCCCACCGAAACCCTGGAAGACGTTCCACGGGTATCTGAAGTCCCCTCTGGGGCACGGGAAGTCCCCTCTGGGGCACGGTTTTTCGGGGCCACCCACGCATCAGAAGGATATGTGGTACTGGCAGGGGACGGAGAATCCAAACACTCGCGTCCCCATCTGAGTTTTTGCTTTCGGTTTTACGCCGGAGCCGCGCAGCGCAAAATTCTGTAGTCTGTCTTGTCTGTCTGTTTCTCGTTGTGTGTTTAACCCTTCTTTATTTAGAGACCACCATGGGACAGGCTGTCGCCAACCCACTGAGCCTAACCACGGACCACTGGTCCGATGTTAAGGCCCGAGGAAACAATGAATGATGAATGTCGGCTGGCCGCAAGAGGGATCTTTTAACCTCTCTCTTATTTCACAGGTGGAGGGCAAGGTTTTTGCCCCTAGCCCTTATGGGCATCCCGACCAGGTCCCATATATCGCCATCTGGAGATCACTGGTCGAGAACCCATTTCCATGGGTTAAGCCTTTCCTTCCACAGCCCCCTCCAGTCTCTGGGCCTTCTGCGCCCCCTAACCCGGACTCCTCCCTTTACCCCGTGCTCCCTCACAAGGAGACTCCTAAGCCTCCAGTCCTTCCCCCAGACCCCCATACCCCCCTTATAGATCTCCTGACGGAGGACTCACCACCATATCAAGCCAGACCACCTGGAGAGCCGGCCGAAGCGGCCCCAGCCGCCGCCCCAGTGGCGGCGCCCCGGCCGTGCCCGTGGAAGATCCGGGAGTCACCTCGACTCGCAGGACCCACGGGGCTGAAGAAGAGGATGCAGCCCCGTCCCCCATTGCCAGCCGCCTCCGCGGCCGCCGGGATGAGAGAGGGGCCGAATCGTCAGTTGCAGTACTGGCCCTTTTCAGCCTCAGACCTCTATAATTGGAAACAACATAATCCCCCTTTCTCCAGGGATCCTGTTGCCTTGACCGGCCTAATTGAGTCCATCCTAGTGACTCACAGGCCGACTTGGGACGACTGTCAGCAGCTCCTGCAGACCCTCTTAACAGTAGAGGAGAAGCAGAGAGTTTTCCTGGAGGCCCGGAAGCAGGTTCTGGGCGATGACGGGAGGCCAACCCAACTCCCAAATATCATTGATGCAGCTTTTCCCTTGACCCGCCCAGACTGGGACTTCAATACACCTGAAGGTAGGGAGCATCTACGTCTCTAT